TGCTGGCGAATGCAAATTGTTGGGCATTTTCTCTTTAGCTTATGTAAACGTTTTAGCTTGGCTTTCGCTTGGCAAACAAAATGAAGTCAATGAACATTTGCCAATGCAAGTCTAATGTATTATTAAGAGGTTCATCAGTATTAAACACTTTCACAACTCGAAGATTTTATACTTACATTAAATGTTTCAAGTGAAATGACCAAAGTAATCTTTTTCTTTGCTTATGTCAACACTAAACAGAAAATAGTTAAATTTTGCTTTTGGTATGCTTAGCCCAAACTTATTCGGGTAAGACACTTCATGCAATTTCTCTTGAAAAGGTCTTAGATAATCCGGATTTCAAAAGGCAATTTAAATAACAGAAATGTGCTAATAACAATTTTCCTAATCCTTAATACCTGCTGACCACTCACTTTTCACCCCACGGCGTATACGCAATGTTCATTGCCCCAAGCCGGCAATGTTAAGACATCTTATTTAGCCAATTAGCGCCGAGCTGGGTAAGTAAACAAATTTGCACAGCTCATCAGCGAGGGCGAAACTCTAGCCAAGAAGTTTTAGCCAGGTGCTTACAAGCGCTTTGCAATTATTACGCTGCTGCAAAGTACGCAACAATTTATGCACTTTCAGCTCGACTTTGAATCTCCCTTCTTGTATTTGCTGCCCGACCAGTTGGCTGTTTGTTTTGCACTTTTGAGCTGTGCCAAAGATTTGCATTTTCAATTTGTACTTGCTTCCCCGATTTTCCTCCGCCGTGATTGCCAGTGAGAGATAGAGATGAAGACGGATGGAGAAGGATTACTCAGGGCGGCAGGAAGGGTTCACAAAATCCCTGGGACTGAGCCCTGACAAAGCGGCCACTTAACATTCAAATGTGGAAACAACATCAAGTGCCGTGTTCAGAAATTCAACATTGTTATAGAAATCCGCAGGCTTACAGCACATTTGCCTTGGCATTGGATTCGATATTGCTGGTTCCCGTTATTTTATTCATGTTTGTTTTCCATCGCTCGAAGCAGGCCTAATGGCATACCTAAGTGGCGTCTAAGCTGGGGCATTTTGTTTACTTGTCCCTCGAAGGTTCCCCGAAACTCTCAAGCCTTTTCCACAATTTCACCTTTTCACCCCGACCTTTGCCGATGCAAATTGACATGTTATGCCAGAAATGAATGCGTATTTCAGCCATGATTTCGAAATGGGGAAAACTTTTTCGCATTTTTCGACATTTTTCGACATTTCTGCCCAGGCAACCAAATGTGATTGTGTCAGTTTGTTTTGTGTAGTTGCGGCTTGCCACTTTGCTGCACTAAATTGCATTTAATTCTGAGATTTGCCCGTTGTGGTGGCTGCCTTTGGCTTTTTCCTTCTTTTTTTTCTAGTTTTATTTTTTTTTCGCCCATGGCCTTCACCCAAATAAACCAGCGCATGTGAGCATGTGTGTGTGTGTGCTGGCAGTGTTTGCCTAAAATTTATGTGCGAACACAATGCTCACCAACACCATCACAGCAATGCTGGCTGCAGCGAATCGCAACAAAAACGAAAATATAAACGTATACACAAATTTTGCATATTTCTGCGCGGCTTTAAAAAATGTGCGGACTCGAAAGAATTAAAAAACTTATATGGACACACAATCACACGTTTCTACATAATAAAACGTTGGCATAATTATACCCTAGGGGGAAATGGGTTGTGGTGATCCTGGCACTTTATAAGCTAACTTATTTTAAGCGTTTTTAGCAAGTTTGGTTTTATTTTCTTTCTGGTTTCCGGTTACATACACAATTTTTTTATATATACCGACAAATTTTTAATTTTATGCATGCCAGAAAAATAACATCAAATTAGCTTTAACTGCACATTTTCTATTATTTGTTATCAAAAGAAATATAAATATATTATAATTGCAAATATAAATGTATCAAATTAATACCCAAAGCAATAGATATAAAAATACTCAAACCAATTTCCAGAAATATACAATTTTAAAGTTTGCAAATTATAAAAAGTGTAATGGTTGAAAAAACTTTGCAGTAAACATGAAAATTGTCCACATCAATTTTAAATGAAATCGCAATTCAATTGTGTGCTTATTTTATCATTGTTTCACATTGGTTTCAAAGAAAGCAGAACTGCAAGAGAAACACCTCATGATTTATTTATACGAATTTTGCACTTTCAATAAAGGTCATTCCCAGTTCGTCTTTTTAAGCAGGGCATTTATTTTTTATGAGTTGACGCAATGCAAATGAATAGGATCTAGTTTTGGCCGCTGTCCTTCGGCTTTGGCCTCGGAAAAGTGCTTTACGGCCTTCGATGGCCCAGAGTACCCAGAAAGTCCCCAGACGGGCATTGGTTTTGTTTTGCGATTTGTGTGTTAGATCACAAGTGTAACAGCTTAATTAACTTAAATTGGGTTGACGGGCGGGGCGATAAGGAGGCGCAATGCGCCGGATTCGCTTTTATTTTTATGTTTACGACTACGGGTCGAACGGAGAGGACCTCCCCGCCCAGGCGAGTTTGACACATTTTCCTTGGCATGCAAGACACGGACAAGTTTTCCACGCTGGCGCTTAAAAAGTTTCAAACACTCAACCCCCAACCCAGAAAAGTCTCGGGCGAAGGATTTTCCCAGCTAAGCTGTTGAGTTGTGGGAAGCGCAGGGATTGAAAAGAGAGAGCCGAGTACTTTGACGAGATTTGCATAAAATTAGGGATTATTGTTAGCAGGATTCGGGGCATTGCGTGGAAATATTGAACTTTATGCGCATATTGATGGCTGGCAATCCTTTGACACGGCCCTGAAGATGCCCCAAAACCTCAGGGCCCCTGCCCAGCTGGCCCTGCCCAATTTTCATTAGCAAATATTTGAGGTCCAAGTAGCTCGCTTTGAGTTATGGCCAAAGCCGCAGTCGGGCCTTGCACTGACCAATAAATCAACTCGGAGGCTTACACACGCACACGGACAATTGTGGCCATTCAATTTGATTATTCAATTGCAAAATACTGACAGCAAGCGAGCAAATGCACACAGATGTGTTGTCCAGATACCAGAGGATATCCACAGACCCAATGCCACAGGATACACCGGATACAGAGGATACACAGGATACCCAAGACAAAGGCGCTTTCCCGCCGATAATAGCATTTTAAATGCAAACCGCTTGCATAATTCGGCCGCTGATCCCCAACTTCTGCTTCTTTTGATTGCTGGCCGAATGGAAGACGCCAAATTTATGGGCCAGCCCGAAAAGAAAGTTGTCTCTCTATTAAAAATAAATTATAGACGAGACTGGGGCGCAAAAAATTGTATTTGCCTTTGGCCACGTCCGGGGCCATAAATTTCCGCAAAACCAACTGACTTTGTGGCCGGCGCAAAGGAGGCGGAGATGGAGGCAACAGGTGCACGCGTGCTGGCCACATCTAGGAGGAGTCCTGGCGGCTGAAGGACTTCCGGCCAGAGGCTGGCCCCCTGTCTGCTGTTTAATGCATGCCCTTTTCACATGGATTCGGCTCAAGTTCGTTTTGTGGCCTGGCCTGGCCTGGCCTGGCGTGGCGTGGTCCCGTAGCCCAAAGCGATAAATCACAAAAAATGTTGCTCTTTTGCATTAAAATTTACAACCTACTAAACAAGACAGACGTCCAGAGTTGCCCACTTGACATGTGCACGCGCTCGCCCCAATATCTGAGTTCGTGGCATGAGCGATTTCGCATAATTCAGGCCTTCATCTTGAAGGCCAAAAAGCGGTGGCTTAAAATCGGAGCGGAGGTCCGATGGCCCAATTAAGTACGTCGTAAGTTTGTTGGAAGTTCACTGTCGAGCCAATTACACGCAAATCAACTGGGGCCCCAGTTGTCAGACAATTAGCGACTAAGGCGACTCAGCTGGCAACCCGGCAAAAGCGCCTTTGCCCGTAATCAATTGAGCGATATTGAGTTATTAGGCTTTTCATGCCGGCTTTCATGGGGGCGGGCGTGTGTTTGGAAAAGTCTCTGCGAGTGCGGTTACCCCCAAATAGCATTTAATGTGCTCTAATGCGAATGGCATTGACATCCGCTTCACTGCGAAAAATACAAGTAATGCAAATTGGTTTTAACTTAAGGAAATTATAAGCCTTTATGTCGAACATTCCCAACAATTTGAGCTTATATGACATTATAATTTTATAAAAGGGGTTTATATTGAACACCTCTCTATTTATTGGTGCCTTTCTTGAAAAAGAGGTTCAACATTTAAAGACACCTTTTTTTTCCAGTGGAAATGCCAACGAAAGTGAGCCCCAGTCTGAAGGCACTCAGCTGTTAAACGCGACAACGATGATGACAGCCATTTTTGGTAACAGAATGTTTGCTACAACTTTTCGCGGCCAATTTTGTGGCCCACTGAATGACAATGGGAATGGGAAAAGCTTGTAGCTGTCTTTGTCACTGTCGCTTTTGCCGTCTCTCTCCTCGTCTCTATAGCCTTATCTTTTACCTTGTCAGTGGCAATTGGAGGTTGCTACGAGCTCTAATCGCTTGAAAAACCCTTGAAAACGCTTGAAAAACTAAAAACAAAAATCAGTACACGAAAAAAATATAATTATATTTTGAAGATCTTTGTCTTTTTTCTTTCATTAATTATCTTAAAAAAAATACGAATTTTTTTAAGATTCTTTGGTTGTAATATTGCTAAATAAAGACCAATAGCTCAGGACAATCCTCAACAGTTTCCGTCAAATTCAAAAAAAAAAATGTTTAAGAAAATATACAGGTTTATATACAAATTCATTGGAAAAATATACTGTTTAATGTTTTACAATACAGATTTTTTTATGTAAAAAAACAGAAGCATATCAAAGCAGAAAAAAAATAGTATATATATGTTCATGTATGTTTATGAAGCATCTGTTTATTGTCAATTAAAATCGCGCACAGATATCGATAATCGTAATGTATAAAACAACTTCCAGCTGTTTTTTTTTTTACTTGATAAGGCTTTATAAGGCCGAGTCATGGCTTATTAAGTGCACAGTCAGTCTGTATTAAGCCATCGACCATGAAGATGTCTCTTGTTCTGCTTTCGCTGATACCTCGATTGCTGGGGGTCACATCCCAGCTCTCGGTTAAACTGGAAGATGTGATCACCACAACGGCGCCCAAACTGAGTCCTTATTGCCAGCCTAAGTTGTGCCCCAAAGGACAAACCCATGTGGCTTGTGAAAGCTATTACAAAGTGAGTACAATTCGAGTCATGAGCCAAATATAAATTCAAAGAATACTTAGATCTTGTATAAAAGCTGAATTTAAGAAGAGTATATATATGATTAATAAAGATTTTTAAAAAATATATATAAATCGCTGGCTTAAATTTAAAAAATCAAATAAGCAAGCCAGATAGGCCACGGAATTCGGAATTCTCTAATTCATCTCAAGAATTGCAAAAGATTTCAAAGAAAAATCCGAACCGTCAATCTGGTCAGATAGGTTCTTTCTGTGTCTTTAATATCCTACCATTTTTTTGCACCTGAAACATAAGTTGGTATTGGAAACTTATATAGTTAACTACCGAAATCCTTCCACAGAGTCTATACCGCACCTGCTCCGCCAAGGAGACGGTTTTAGTGAACATGACGATCCTCGCGGAGACTATTCTGAAGCAGCACAACGAGCGGCGGTATTTGCTGGCCAGCGGTAAGGATTCCTCACTGCCACGTGCCGCTCGAATGGTGGCCATGCAGTGGGACGAGGACCTGGCCGCCGTGGCAGGATTCAATGCCAGGATGTGTCAGCCCAAGCACGACGACTGCCGCAACACGATTAAATTTCCGCGATCCGGTCAGAATATTATTGTATTCAATATGACACGGCAAGTGGATAAAGAACTGATGGAGAAACTCTACCCGAAGCTGGTGTCCATTGCGGTGAAGACGTGGTGGACGGAGTCGCAAAAGATGTCCGCCGTGAACATGGAGCTCTATCCGTGTGATGAGAAAAAGCAGGAGTAAGTTGAATCCCTCGACCACATTATGAAGCCGCCTCTTGACCAACTCCACTCCATTCGACAGAGCGTACCGCCACTTTGCGGTCATGGCCATCGAGGGCAACTCGCACGTGGGCTGCGCCGGACTGCGCTACGTGGTGGACAACCTGACCCAGTTCAAGCTCACCTGCAACTACGCCCGGGCTCCGGTCTGCGGACAGCCGATCTACCGCTTCCAGCCCGTAGGATGCCAGACGGGCCGCAACAAGAAGCACTCGTCCCTGTGCTCGCCAACGGAACTCTTTCGCTGAGTTTTTCGCGAAAGCCACTCACTGCGAAAAGCCACATTAACGCATCTTATTTATCCATGTTTGTCCGAAATCTGGCCCACCTGGCCATGAATACCAGCCAACGAGTGGCCAAAACGAACGGGCATGTCCCACAGCTGCACATGCAAAATTTAAACAACTCCATCGGAATGGAATTTCTGCCAATTTCCTGTGACGAGCCCGGCCCGAGGTCCTTGGCGTTCCTGGCAGGAAGTATCGATGGCGGTGCAATTACCTGCATAACAGCCGGCAAAAATAGTCACACTGTAAAATAATGATTTGAAACGATGGAGCTCAGGCTAGCGAATTTAACAGAATGTTCACACCTATTTTTTTTTTTAGAGATTTGGGCTTATAAAAATTTAAGACAGATTATTAAACATATTATTAAAAATGGTAGAAGTGCTTCCTAACTTATATCTAGTATAGTTAAAAATATATTATATAAAATGGATGAAGTACTTCCTAATTTATATCTGATATAGTTTGAAACCTTTTTAGTTAAAGTTATGCATTCAAATATTAAACTTAAAAAGAATCAGAACTAAAAATTATTTTCAAATAAAAAGCTTGCGAATTAAAAGTATTTAAAATTAAATATAAGTAAAGAATACCATCAGTTATTTCCCTGAGTATACTTTGCGGTCTCGTTGGGGAAATGATAGTTAAAATGTCACTTACAGGCATTCCCCATTTAGCAGGTATCTAGAGCACTCTAAGTGAAAAAAAATCGAAGCGAAATGATGCAACGCTCATGATTATCGCAGTCCCTACTTCCGACGCGCCTTTATGGGTGTAAACAACTTGATTAGGACAACTTGATTGGGCTGAGCTCATTTCTGCATAAACTTTATGGCTTGCTTAGGATTGGCATTTAATGGCCAATCGAGTGGCGTTTGGGTCATTAACCGACCCCGTTGCAATGCCAATGGGGGAGTGGTCGTGGCCGTAGACCCCTCCAAAGTGGATGCTGTTGCCGAACAGTATCGGTATCGTAAAAGCTAACTACCTCTTAGGACCAACCGGGGTGTTAAACACGTGTTTTCTTTTCAGGGGCGAAGCTCTAGAGAGCCGATACTGGATAGTTAATTAAAAGTGCCACACCGATTGAATGGCTGAATGATATTCATTAGCTGCGGCACAGTGCCCCTTCGTTCTCAATCCGATTAGCACTCTTCGCTGCACAGCCATTCCATTATTTTATGCGACTTCATTTGATTGAAATGCATGAGAGTTTCGGTGGAATGAAAACGGCAGAGTGGGAAATCGACTTTCCCTCCCCCAGTTGGCAGCTGGCTTGGCTGGCATTTACCTGGAGCTAGGCAACCTCCACCCCTTTTTAGTCACTTGGCATTCGCATGTCTGACACCTGGCGAGAGAAAAACTAAAAGTCACCACTTCCGCAGCACATAAATTTGAAGCGCTGCTCGTTTTTGAGGCTTCTTGATCCCCTCCAAAAAAAAAAAAAATGCAACAAGCTGGGAGGGCTGAATAAAAAATAAAATACTAGACGGTGTCCTTTCATTTTTCCTCTTTTCCTTTTTTCGGGTCACTTTCCTCTCGCATTGCATGCCAAGTTGTTCATGTAGTTTGCAGTTTTTGTTTCGCCACAATTTGTTTTGCTTTGGTTCACCGTTCTCACTGTTCGTTTTCCACTTTTCACTTTTCCGTTTAAGCACTTGAACTTAAAGCTTTTGCGTTTTTATGCCGGGTAGCGACGAGGAGCAACAATTTATCAAAGTTATGGCCGTGGATCTGAAAGTGGAGCAAATGTTTGGTCCCGCCATGAACCGTCCGAATAAATATCTATTAAAACCCTTCAAGTCTTCAGATGCAAGTGAAGATTTACGGGACTCCGGACTCCTGATAATGGTGCATTAGCGTGTAAAGCGTTTTCGATGCACTTCCCACGGAGACAGTTCCATTTCCATCCCTTTTTTGTTCTCGTTGAGCGTCCAAGGACCAAAGTCATTACCATTGTCAGCACGTAAAGCTTGCTCGCATGTTCAATATGTGTTTTCCCTGCCAGTGTGAGTGAGTCGGGCTTTTCGCGGCTTTTCCTTGCATTATGCCTTTGACCGCGCTTTTCCTTTGTCTCTATCTCCTTTTCTGCTCCTGCTCCACAAACACCAACTTAAAACTCAAGCCCAAAGGTGTACCGCCCTCAAGGAAAATGCCACTTGAAAGAAATTGTTTTTCATGCCCCTGAGCTCCGCTCCAAAAGGAAGGATGGAGTATATTAAAGCAACGAGGCTTTAAACATTTTTACCTGGCATCGAAAAGTTTAGAAAATAATGGACAAGCCATTAAAAAATAATGTAAACCTTATGTATTCAACCTTTTTTAACTTGAACAATATTAACTAATTATTTTCTTGATTGTTACTTAATTAAAAATTATTTCTAAGTTTCTAAGAACAATAAAAAATACAACAAATTTAAAAATGTAGTTTATAATTTGTAAACACAAGTGAATAAGGACTCTAGGAAACAATGTTCTTAACGGAATGTCCCAATTGGTACTGGTATATTTTTATCGTGTAAAATTATATTTAAATACGAAAATACGATAACACTCTCTGAAATCTCCAGTTGAAATTTTTTTTTTTGTTAATAGTTGGTCTGGGAAAGTTTTGCTGTCACTTCTTGCGCCGCTTTAGAGCTTATCAGCTCATCGGGAATTGCCTTTGGGGGCTGAGCCGCGCCTGCAAATCGCACCCAGCACTCATCATTTGGTTCTTGGTTATTTTTATTTTTATGACTTCACTTCCCCTGGTAATGGAGCTCGGTTTACGTTTATTAGCATACTTCGCAGTGGCTTTGGCCGTGGCTCAAGGTGCGTTTAATGGCGGACATCTAGTTGCCTCCGCCGGGCACTTTATGACTTCATTAGGAAGCCATTTACGAGTATGTGCTTCAGATGTTTTCCGCCCGCCCATTTGCTATATACCACATATATATATATCCACCGATTCCAGAGCCTATCTCACTCTATCCTATGAGGGGCCGTGCTGAAGGCCAATTGATTTGCTATAGACATTGGTAACAAGAAGCAGACTTCGGGCCGAGAAATCGAGAGTGGGGACTCAAGGTGGCCAGAGCTAAAATCTAATGAAATTTATGCAGGCGCTGCATTGCGGCTAAACATGAACGGGCAGCCTCAAACTCTCACTCTTACTCACCTGGCCCATGTGGTGGCAACTTTTACCTGGCTTTTCCGCCAGTTTACAATGTGGCATGAATGAGTGTGGCTACACCTCGAAAAATTAGTGAATAAAGTTAATTTAAGCATGAGAACTCACAACACAATTTAATATATAAAATGATAACTCTATCCTAATTAAATATCAAGCAATAATACTAAATATGATCATAAAACTATATTTTTCAATTTATTATAATTGTTTCCTCAAAATTTAGTGTAAGACAGCTCATATATATATTCATTCTTTTATACTGTGCTGTAATTTAAACAGAATTTTCCCATTTAACATTTTTGTCTTATGTATTCCAAATCATCAAAGTTCGACAGATTTTATTGCACCCTACATAAAATTATCCAATTCTATTTTAATTTTTCCAATTCATTGTTATTAGCTTGGCTAAAAAGTTTGACTTAGCTAATTATGGGAACTCTTAGCATTTGTCAAGTGTACTGGTGACCTACATAGATTCCTCGCCATTGAGAAGGAAGGTGGAATGCGTTTTTATGAACACTCTGGGAAATGCCTTTGTCTCGGCTGTTGGCTTAGCTAAAACCCGACATCGATGGCCAGCTGGAGCCAGATTGGCGACCTGTTTCCACTTTCCGAGTTGCCCTAGTCGAGTCGAAATCCCAGCCCCGATCCGGATTCAGCATGTGGAAGTAACAGTTTAGCGCTCGAACAGGCCCCAAGTTGCATGGCGTTGGCACTTTTCACTTTCGCCCCCCAAAAAACTAAAGTCGAGCATATTTCTCTGGCAAAGGGAAAGTTTTCAGTCCTGGCGGCAACAAATACAATTTGTGCTCGGTTTTTAAAAACAAACAACTTAAAGTGCTCGGCAATGGAAAGGATGAGCATCCTGATACAAGGTGTCAGTCTCCTGCCAGACAGCCCGAAAGGAAGGAAGCTTTTTCAAAACGCCAAATGATAAATGCATTTTTAATGGAGTGCCCGAGACGCCCGAGGCGGAAAAGCGAGCATTTTCCGGCGGCAAGGCTTAGCGGTAATCGTGAATGGGAGCGCTTCGAAAGTCTCCTCGGGTTGGGCGGATGATTAAGCTAATGTTTCGCTCCTTTAAACTCGGGGAATTCTTGTTTCACTTAACCGAAGCTAGCAGACAAACAAATTGGCTCCCATTCTTCCCCCACACGTTGAACAAATGTTCGACGCGTGTGCGTTAATAAATTGCCTGAATTTAACCTTTTGCCAGGGCAATTGCCTAAGCATTTAGCTGTGCAATCAGGCCGTAATGCAATGAACCCCGGTGTGCCCTCTGCAATTGTTTCTACTCACATTTACAAGCGGCGTTTCCATTTAATCAATATTCAAAACACAAAGCCGGCACAAATGGAGATAGCAGAACTTTCAATCCAAAATTGTGGCTAAACAAAAACTAAATGGTAAGCAGAAGCGATGGCAAAAGGTCGAAAAAAAAGGGAGAGGGTGCGAGCGCCTAAAAGCATGCCACACAAATTGAAAATAAATGCCAGCGAAACAAAAAACGCCTCGCTGACCATTTTAATTTACTAAGTTTTGATGATGCACAAAAAGAGAATTGAGGGAAAAATAACCCAGCCAGCCAACCAGCCAGCCAGCACATAAAGTATATATATATGTGGTTATTTGATGTATAAAATGTACACACACCAAAGGTGGAAGAGTTCTGAGCAGTGAAAATGAAAAATGGCTTACCGTATGTGGGAGGGGGATTTGCCTTAGATAGTTATTGATATTTGTACGGTCGGTGTGGCCGGGCCAGCACCTGAAAGCAATCAATTCATAATGTTGTGGAGAAGAAACCCAGAAATGGCTATCCAATGACCAGAGCAGGATGAATTTATGGCCACTGGAGCCGAGATAGAACCGCAGAGCAATGTCATTAACTGGAAGGCGAAAATGAACCCAAGAACTGGCGGGGATGGAGGATAAATGAGCTGTTGATGGCCAGCCATAAGGATGCTGTGCGGATAAGCTGGCGAAATTGCCATAAAATTACTAACGAGTTGATTAGGTCACTGAAACTAAAAAGCTTCAGTGCAAATTGAAATGGTTTCCGGATCTCCACATAATTTGAGTAGAAAATATGTATTATATGCAGAATTTAATAGGGAAATAAGTGCCAGTGTCAGTTGTATTCTTAGGTATCAAATTTTATTATATCAAACATAAAACACTTTTGAGTTAGTTAAAAGAACTAAATACTTAATTCGA